TTAGTATAAACCAACAAATATAAAAGAAATGAAAAACGTTACAACAGTTGACTTGTGTGATCTGGGGTTGAGGATTTCTCTCCAGGAGAGAATGTCACCACCATTCTAGGTCTTGGTTTTACAGCTTGATATGAATTGTACTGAGCGATGCATGTATTGGATCGTTTTGTCTTCATTTCCAATTATGTTGGAAACTGAATTGTACAAACAAATGATTTGATAAAGTCTTTCTTGTTTTCATTAAAAAGCATAGCTGAATTACAGGAATTTTACTGTACTTGAAAAAAATACCTTGACGTTTTTAATTAGTGCTTTTTAAATTGCCCTGTGAAGTGTCTGCCTCCAGAATAAGTTTTCTACCAAAGCAGGCACTATTTTTATTAGAAGATTACTTTGTCAGCATTGGCCTATCAAATGAAATATGGGCTGCGTTTTTTTCATTTTTAAGCCTTTCTGCAATATTATTCAAGAAAATTAATACGGTCTTGCAGAAATAGCAAGAGCATACTTTGACATAGTTTCATTATTTTTCCCAATCATAACGTTCTTTCCCTTCAATAGCTTTATTTATAGACTCTTATATTAGACTCAACACGTTAAATCTTCCAAATATGGAATTACTGCTCAATTTGATAAATGAAGGACTAGATTCTTCCCTGTTTGCTGATGCCTATTCAGAGCAGAGCTGTAGCAATCGATGAACTGACACCAGCTTAAAGCTCAGTGTGGAGTCTAGTGTTAAGACTGTTACTGATTTTAAGAAGACTAAGGTCAGATCAGAGCATGGTTTTTAACCTTACTTTTGCAGATACCAGACCTATGTTTTGAAACTAAAAAAAAAACTTTTGTTTGTTGTCCTTTCATGTTTTGTTCATTGGTGGGTTCTTGCTGTATGTATGGGCCCTAATTTATTAATACTGAATAGGTCTGATAAATTATTTCGGGTTTTGTGGTTATAGGTATTTGTTTTCTTTTTATAGGTATGTTTATCATAGCTCCAAGTGGATGGTGGCTGGTAATGCTGACTCCCCGGTACCGCCTCGTGTTTATATTCACCCGGATTCACCTGCCTCCGGGGAGACATGGATGAGACAAGTGATCAGCTTTGACAAACTGAAGCTTACCAATAATGAGCTGGACGATCAAGGGCATGTGAGTACTTGCTCTTCTGCAGTATTACGTGTAGGCACATTGCTCAGCCCCGAAAGACTGACGTGCAGCTTCAGGGTGCCAGAAATAGGCTTGACTTTTCAAAGCTGTTTTGGAACTTTACTGTCCAGATCTAAAATCTGCTTACTTTCTGCTCCGATAATTAACTGCTTATTAGAGCCTGCTGTTTTACTCCCCCCTCAAAAACAGAACTCCTTCTGCAAAGTAAGACTTTACAAGGCTAAATTGCCTAATACGAAGGGGCAGAATTGCTGTCATGTTTTCCCACCGAGTGTGTTACTCGCAACTTCTGCTCCGATCAAAAAGGACGCTTAAATTCACAAGTGGCTAGAAGAAACATTAATACTGTGTAATAACTTCATGTGAATAAAAATACACTTAACTATTTTCTTAACCTAAACATTTGTGTGAAATCCCATGAGGTGTTAATAATTGCAGTCAAAAACGAACAACATGGGAGCTGGGTTCACTCTGATAATGATTTATTACATACCTTATGAAGCAAGACCCTTTCACAGCTGAGGCTCATTACTTCTGAAAAAACTGGCGAAGACGTATGCAGTATGAGTGTTCTGTTTGCAAGTTCTAAATTGTTTAGTTATGACATTATCTAATGTGACAAAATGTGTTATGTTAATATTTCCTTTTCTCTTCAAAACTGTTGAAACATGACAGATGTAAGCCAGTATCTTTCCAGCAATCCCTAAAATAGTTTTACTTGACACCTTAGGAAATAATTAAAAAATGAGAATTGTTTTTAGTCAGGGTGAAGTCTTTAATTTTGCAAAATCCTGTAATAAATGGCAAATGTTGGCTTGCTTTCCGAAGGAGCATCGAGTTCCAAGTGGTAGAGTTTTAAGATGTTAGAGGCGAGTTTTAAGATGTTAGAGGCAAGTTTTAAGACAGGATGTGGATTCCATTGTCCTTAGTGTAGCCCAGTTTATTAAGCAGGATACTTTCTCCTTAACGGAAGGGGGCGAGAGAAAATGTACCTGGCACAGAGTACAAAGATACTGCGTGCATCTTTCAGCATAGTTGTAACTCTGTGACATTAAGCCAGGTATTTTGTCAATCCATAAGCCAAGTTTAAGTATGATCTTTTTTCTCCCCATTAGTGTTTGCAAAAGAGATTAACTTGAGACTCTGGTCAAATCGTGCAGGAGCTACAACTTTACCTTACAGAGGCGGGAATACAGGAGACTGGCCGGACTGAGCTAGCAAATGTGGTAACAAGGATAAAAAGCCTCCCTTTCGTATAATACTGTTCATAATTTCATCGCGCTCTTACTGAAAAGGAACGTGGGGGTATTTACATCTCTTGAGTCAGCAGTGCTTTTGTTAAGGATTGTAAGAAAGATGTTTTACATCGCTTCTTTCCAGAATTACAGTTACGGGGTCTCATTTGGCAGTGTTTGTTTGAGTAAAGATTAGCACAGGTAGTTCCCGTAGTTTCCCCAGCATTCGTGTATTTGTGACTCTTCTCGAGTGGGAGTTGCTTTCTCCGAGTCCTGAGTCTATTGTAAGGGCTTTAAAAAGTGAAGCGGATGCGAACGGGTACAATGTCGCGTTTCCAACGGAGAGCAGGGCGGCTGGTTTTTGTATTCTGTCATTTCAGAGGGGCGATGTGTGGGTACTGTGGTCCACCCGTGCACTTGCAGTCACAAACTGCCCTGTGATAAAATCTCGGCTATGTAGAGAATTGTATTGCTGTATTTTTCCATCCCGGATCTTAGCTTTGTTTTTATTTTGAACTGAAACCTGTGTAGTGTACACAGCACACCATTATTCATAATGTGGGGGGATATAAATTTTCTGGTCTTTAGTTAAGTGTTTCGATTTGGAAACTAGTAAAGCAAAGCCCTAGTACAGTGATTTGAGACACATTGAACTGATTCAGAGCTACGGCAGCGCCCCTCCTCCCCAAAATGGAAATTTAAGTATTAAAATAAAAGGACAAAAGAAGGATGACTGTAAAATAATTTCATATTTCTCAAATCTGGGAAATAGCAAACATGTCATTCATAATTACCAGAAAAGGCAAAAGCAGAAAGCAGAAAAGTGTCTCTTCCAATGGGTACATTTTTTCTTTTAAAGCTATGGTAGTGTGGAATGCTGTATTGAAAAAGCTATGTAGCCTCTGAATGCCTCCAGCAATAATGGAAAACGAATAATCATATTTTGTGATGAATATAAAAAACAATTGTTTCGCATAAGCAGGAAGGAACCATTTTTCTCAAAAGGGTACCAGGGGAAGGATGGGGGATTAGAAGAGCGAGGGGTCAAGGCTGTACTGTCCCTCGAACAGTGATTTTACATCGTATTCTGACTCTCCCGCCGCTGTATAGGAGATGGGGTATATTTTAGATTATTAGAAAGTTTTTTATTTTTCCCCTCCTGCTTAGGCAGAATGGCTCAGAGAAACCTCGGTGGCGTCTCTACACTCTGCCATCATTCCTCCAGTAGTTCAAGCAGTGTCGGGTTTTAGCTGTTCTTTGGGCGTGCTTTCCATGCTGTCTGGTTCTGGGGCTTTAATCCTTGTCGAAATTGTTCCTTTATTCTTCCTGTGCTCCTCAGAGGTGTCAGCTTTTGCAGCGTTCTTGTGTAAAATCCCAGGGCTAGGTTTTGATCTTGCAGGCGCTGAGGTAGGGAGTTCGCATGAGATCAAGCCAGAGCCCTTTTACCAGAGTATTAACTCTCAGAATCAGTGAGAGAAGTGACCCACGTCCATGGGAATGGGGACGGTATTTGCAAACAGATGCTAAGGTAGTGTTCCTGTGCAGTATTTGTATTGTAGCAGTAGTTCATGGCAGCCAACTCCCCTTGCATTGTGTTGGCCTGGGATTAGCTTCTGGCGAAAGGAGATCAGCCATCTCTGAGACGACTTTGCTTCGCTGCTCGAACGCTTTCCGGCTCCTTGCTGCCTGCTGCTATTTTCATCAGTATTTTGAGTGGGAGTTTGTGACGACGTAATTTTATAGTGCTGTTCTGCGGAGAGATTTTGAAGTACGTCTCCATGTAGGACACTCTCTGATACATGGGTTCCACTTGAAGGCTGAGGAAATCAAGCAAAATTTGTAAGGATATGTTTTTGTTGTGTGTTTTCGATCTCAAAAGGGAGTCCCAGGGTGAATTCCCTACTTTGGAAAGACTGCGTGCTTATAGAGGCATTAAGGCCCAATGGCATCGCTAAGACACATAATGTGGCATTTGTGTCTTTCATCTGAGTTGTGATGGTAAGGAAGAGTAAACCTGCATTTTGCAGTTGACACTGAGAAGTGCGTGGTCTGGGTGCTCTTTGTTAATGCCTTTCATCCCTCTCTCATCTGTGGAGTAAGTGCTGCATTGTAAAAGCAGTCTCTCCCTCCGGCTGGTTAGAGCTGGCTGATTTTTCTATTTTGTTGCAGTTTTTAATCTGAATTTCAGTAGGGGGGAAAAGTCAATATTTTTAATGCTATTTTCCATGCTTTTCAACTGAGTATTTTTTGATGCAGAGGAACATCTTTTAGTGAAAATGAGGCTGTTGGCGTGTTAATTGTTCCTTGGTGGTTGGGTTTTTTTTTTTCCCTATTTGAAAGTGGGGTGAGGCTGGAAGCAGAGGCAGGCTGTTGCTCTGCCCAGACTTGGCTCCAAGTAGCGAGCTCTGCTTACAGTCAACGGGTAGTTATATGTTCTTGTCACAATGAAAAGCTGGGAAACATCAGCATTTGCACTTGCAGTTTTTGTCTTTGTGAAGAGGGAGTCCATGCTCCTTGGCCCCACACGCTTCCCTGACTGCAGGAAGCCTGAGTAACACGGGCTTTGCAGGGAGGACAAAGGAGGATTTTTGGTGAAAACAACATCAAGGTGAGGATCATGCCGGTGGTGGGGAGGTGGCTGTGTAATCTGTGCACCGCCGAGCTGCCGGAGGATCGGCATCTCCCCCACGAAAGAGAATCGGGCTCTCGCTTGTGCTGGCTGTGACGTTTGTGCCACGATGGTACCCAAGCTCAGGGTCAGTGTTGAGGCCTCATCACGGCAGCATCTCTCAAAAGTTGTATTGCAAAGGTAATCCCAGCTTTTGTGTGTCTGCAGGTGCCTTGGCCACCTTTGTTCTGCCAGGCTGTTGCTTTGCCCTGCTGCCTACCTGTGGGCTCCCTGCTGCGGCGTCTTCAGTCCGATAATGATGTCTTGACATCTGCAGTGGTCAAAGTGTAATTTTACCTTTGGCGGGAGAGGTTTATTCCCCCCCGAAGTGTTTTGGTCTTGCCTTGTGAGAGATTTGTAGAGAGAGGCAGGCTCTTCAACTGTGAGTTGAAAGCAATGCCAGTTTGTGCTTGGCGTTTGGTGGGGTTTGTTCTGGTTGGGGTTTTTTATTGTTGGCTTTTAAGGGTACGAAGGGAAAGTTGCTGGTTCTGCAGATAAACTGTTAGATCTCGTTTGTGCTGTTACATGTGCAAGCGATGCGGAATGAAAAGCAGGAATCTCCTTTTCCTTAGCTTTTTCGTCACGGTAACTTTTGGAGATGCTTAGAATAATAGAGCTGAAGGATTTTCAGAGTGGGCATTGCATTTCCCTCTCTTTTTATGTCCTATCTACATAGTGTTACTCTTTAACTCACCAGGGCTCTGCAGTTATATATTATTTATTTAGAATTCAGAGTCCTGATCATTTAACAAAGATCCCATTGTACAAGGCACTGAACAAAATCAAGAAAAAAAAAATTCTTGCTATGGATTTGCTTATCGTCTAACCGTGTGTCAGCGCAGGAAATTTCAGTATAGCGCGGAGCCAAGCCAGGTTGCTCTTAAGAGATGACAAGGATCAGTTTAGCTGTAATAGCCACCCAGATGAGGAGTGGGAGGTGTTCATCTCCATGCTGCCATGACTTCGCTTGTCCTGATACATGAGCAGAGCTGTTCGTAGCTGCCTGGGTTATCATTGCGTACGGTCAAGTCCGCCGTGTAGGCAAGCGGTAGTTTGCACTGCGGAGCTGATGGGGTGAAGTCATCGGGGTGGGAGCAGAATGTGGCACTCTCAGTGGCACCCAGGCAAATGGCAAGCCACAGAATAGCGATGGGTTTGAACAGTGGAACAGAGCTTTCCTTGATGGTTTTTTTCAGTTGCACCAGTACCTCCCTTGGTGTCACTGGGTGTTCACAGGAAAACAGGGTCAGGAATGTGCTGTCCTCTCAGCATTTTCATTTTGTAGGTCTTTGCCAGTAGAGAACTGAAAGGAGTGTTGTAAAAGAGAATACACATTTGCATGATAAAAATCTTGCTCTGTGCAAGATTCCAGAGACTGGGAAAAGGCTTCATATGAGAACATCCATAGGGCACTCCCTGAGCAAATTAATTGGAGCCTGTGACGTCATTGTCAAAACCTTACTTACAGGCTAATAAAACCCCTGATTATCCAGAAACTTGGCTTATCCAAAACGGGGTCATGTCATCTGGCCAGGACCAAGTGTACTAAACTAGCCAAACTCTAGTTTATCCAAATGAATGTAATGTCCTCTGTGTCATTTGGATGAATGAACTTCCACGGTGTCTGGCATAAGGGCTCTGTCGAGTGCCTGAGCACATGCACATTCTGAGGCTACTCAAGGAGCAGGAAATTAAAAAGCTTCCCCTGAATGTTGATTAGTGGTTCCAATAGCCATAGGACTGTTTATTTATCGAGTTACTAATTTCTTAGGCCTTCCAACAATAATAGTTCAGCTTCCAATTATTTTTTTTCTTGAAATTTTCTATTTTAGTAGTAGTTAGCTGAAGTGGAGTGAAATAGAGGAAAAATTCAGTATTTTAAATCTCCTCTAAAATTTGGGAGCAATATCAAGAGGTATTTTTGTGTTTAATTTTATGAACTGTGAGTTCATATACTTCTCGTTTATCATTTATTCTTAATTGAGTTTTTGTATGCTGGGAGGGGTTTATGTATTGATATTCATTGTCTGTATTATAAATCTAGGGTTATTAACACTTATTAACACTTTAGAGTTTTGGATTTTGGTATTATTTTACTCTAAGTTTCTGCTTTTTCAGAGTGTGAGAGTCTGAGCTTGTGTTTAAAACAAGATACGTTTCCAGCCTTTGGGATATCAGGAAAAAAATTGCTCCAAGCATATCCTGAAGGTTCCAAAAACAAAAGGCAAATGCTGCAGCTGTTAATCCTGTCAGATCAAATCCAGGCTCCAGTGGACAAAAGTGACAAAAATTTCCTAATTCCAGTGGGACCAGGACTTCACTCCTGATTTTTTTTTCTTTTTTTTTTTTTTTTTTAATTGAGCCAGTCTCTGAATTTGGAGCTCCTGAGTTGTAATTTTTAAGCGCTTAGGGTTGGCAATAACATAAATGCACAGGGATTAGACTACTGTAATAAGAACCTTCAGAGGTTAAAGAAAACATTTGATTTCCAGTAAGTGGCATGGTAAACAAATACCATAATCTGTTCCAAAAAGCTATTAGTCCTGAAACAGCAGGGTGTCCTTTCTAATAAATGTTATCTTTTTCCTTTCATGACTGCATAGATTATCCTTCACTCTATGCATAAATATCAGCCTCGTGTCCACGTCATCCGAAAAGACTGTGGAGATGATCTGTCCCCCGTCAAGCCTATCCCTTCAGGAGAAGGGGTGAAAGCCTTCTCTTTTCCAGAGACAGTTTTCACTACTGTCACAGCGTACCAAAATCAACAGGTAACTTGGACTTTCTGCTTAGCACTTTACAGGCTTTTCAGAGTAGACCAGGGAAGTAAGAGATAGGAGAAAAGCAGATACTTTTATTATACCACTTATTAAAAAGCATTATCTAAACCCTTTTTGTAATACAAGTAGCTTTCACTAGTAGTATTGCAGCAGCGCCTGGAGGCTATAGCTGAGACTTCAGGCCACGTGGGCTAAATGCTGCATGTAAAAAGTAATTCTTATTACGGAGATCACACGGTCTAATTAGCGTAGTTAATGGTGTCTTAACTATAAATACAGCATTGAAGCACAAGGCAAAGAGCAGTCTAATTTTTAAAGGTGTTTTTGTACCTTTAAGTGTAAATACATGTCTGGATAGAATTTTTAAAGCACTTTTGTTCCTGACTCCAGTGATTTCAAAACTCCCAGGACCTTAACAGAGAAGCTGAGGTCTGAAGAAAGTTGCAGTTGTTTTCATTAGCTGCATTCAGCGTATATTATTAACAGCAATTTATCTGGGTCCACACAGATTCAAAGTCAAAAGTAAACTGCAGGTTGCGTGACTCCGGTGTTTGGCTCTTATTACCACTTGTTTAAGTATTAACATATATAGTGACACCACAGTTAGTGTTGTGACATTTTATTAATTCCACATAAGTTACTGCAGCTGTATTTTGGGAAATTATATATGCCTTGCTATCTTTACAAAGAGAAGAGCAGGAGAGCCATGTAAATACTGAAATATAATTATTTATATTATATCACATTTATTTACATAAATTACAAGTGTTTGGGTGGGGAGTTGCTGTTTTTTTATGGAGGATAATAGCTTAGACATAATCTCTCTTTTCACATTTCCTTCTTGACCCGTACAGAAATAAAATTTAATTTAATTTTATTGCAGTTAGGCAGTATACTCTCTTAGGTGAAGAATGACATTTGCCAGAAGATTTTTCTCAAGAATTCCAACCTGCCATTTGGTAGCATTAAATACCTATTAGCTTCTCTGGGGATTTGCAAAAATAATGATCAGAAGGCTGGCCCTTATTTTGCTGTGTTTCAGGACATCCATCTTAAACCATGCAAATGTGAAGATGTTTCTACTCCACTGTCGGCTTAATTCTGTCAGGAGAGTAATTTTGTGTGTTACTTAGCTGAATTTGCAGGTAATAATTTCTCTGATCATATTCACAGATAACTCGTCTGAAGATTGATAGGAATCCATTCGCCAAAGGGTTTAGAGATTCGGGACGTAACAGGTAGGTGTTGGGGAAGGAGGTGGGCTTGTTACTGCTGACAGGATCGGTTTGTGAAGGCTGGGTGAGGGGAATACCAATATTTACAGACAAATTAGTCTGAGGACTCAGACTCCCTGAGGGAGCACTTAGGTTTCCCAGTAATGTTCTCTGTGGTGGGCTCCTGTTCCTAGTCCTCTGACCATCTAGGTCAAGAACAGGTTGGCACTCAGCTTGACTCTTGTACTCAAGTTCCTTTCGGTGGAAGTGGTGGCATACCATGGAGGCTGCAAATGGAATAAATGCACACTCAGGTCTGTGATTTCAGGCTGCTCCTGAAATCTCCTCTTTCTCCTGGCTGGAGGCACAAATTGCAGATACCAGTGTCAAACTATAAGCCCAGGTTCTTTTGCATGTAAGTGGCATTTAGTACGGATGAATGGCTCGTTGTTTTCTCTTAAAGGGGGAAAAACTAAGTCGCCTCCTGCAGTAACCTTATGTTTAGTACACTTGCTTAGGAGGTGGAAGACCCACGTTCAAGTGTCTCTTTAGCCTAAGGAGTTTGAAATCCACTTCCTACGTGAATGCCTTTCCTACTAGGCTATCGAAGACCTTGAAACGAGCCTGGTTTCCACCTCCTCTGTTGCGGTTGGACTGATTAATTGCTTGTTCTCTCTTGATCCATGAATCTTTCAAAATAGCAATGGGGAATCTGAGTAGTGCAAAGTGGAGACTTGTGTCTAGTCCCTGCTGCCAGTACTGATGAGGTACTTTATCCGAAGACTGTTTAATGCAAAATACTTAAGCCTGTTATGAATTGTATGTTAAACCATTTCAGCTAAAAAAAGCAGCATTTAATTGTGGTGCATATTATACATCAGTTCCAATGACCACATTGCGTTTGGTGTCTACAGCTGCTATATTTATGACCTAGCCTTGCAGAGAAGGGAGCAGACTCTGTGCTGATAGGAATGCTCAGAGAGTATCTTTCGGTAGCTGCTTTATTGAGCTGCTCTTTTAGCAGAGGCTACAGCATCAACGCCTGTTTTGTGCTTCCACCTAAGTTGCATAAATGCTGAGACCAGACAGCAAACGAGTAGTTTTTAGAAGATGAACAGTTATAGAAGGGGTGGCGTAGTTGTAAAGACTTACAGGAACCCACTGTAAGTGTCTTTTCAGTTTGCACTCTGCATTTGTTGCTCTCTAAAACTTTTGTCTTCCAAGCAAGAAACAATTGGCCATGCTCTGTCCTGGGGCCTGGAAGTGATGCCCCAGGCACCGGCATAAATAGAGTTTTGTCCTCCTTTGTAGCCTTCTAGTTTTAAATTAAGTGAACAGTAACTTCCAGATAAATGCAGTGACTGAAGAAGCAAAACATGCTGTGTGTACTCGGGGAAGAAAAGAGTTGCCGTACGTGCCCTGTTTGACAGCTCTCCGTAGGCAGTGTCTCTGCTATGCATGCTTTTTGCAGAGCTATAAAATAAGTACTAAAGAGCCTCCTAAGAAGTGTGAAACTCTTAACTCCTCTGAAATTTCTGAGTATAAGTGGAGTTAGAATTTCTTCCATAATGTTCTATGAAACAAGAGAAGATGCCCTTGAAAATAGAGAGGAAAGAACCGTTCAGAAACCAGTTTTGAACTGGATTTGACATGGTGGGACAGCCCTGGTATTACCGAGGATGGTGTAGGTGCAGTAAGAGTACTGCATCTGCAACCACGCAAATGCAGTTGTAGGACTGGGGATATCCAGAGAGGTTTTTTTTTGTTTTGTTTGGCTGCTAGTAGTAAGTTTGGTTCGGGCATTAGAAAAAAAGCAGGGTGTTTTAATTGAAAGACATAGTTTATGGAAATGATTAGGAGGCCAGTCCTGTAGGAAGGGCCAGCCTCTGTATAAATGTTTCGGAACTGGCTTTGGATGAGGTCTGAATGCTTTTACTGTAACAAACACACTCGTTAACGGAAGTGACTCTGCAAACTCTTGTCCATTGCAAATTGACATTGGTTTGCTGAAGTCAGTATTGCTGTTTTCTTTAATAGGCTCTGTAGTACTGAATAAGTGTGTGTGGGAATGCAGCTCAGATTTTTAGTTGTTGAGGAAAATTTTTTTTTTTTAAATTAAATTACTGGTCTACTCAGTTGATTATTATTTTACTCTGTTGCTGAACATTAAGATTCGGTTGTCTTCATTGTTTTAGCTGGTATACTTATCACCTAGGCATTTTAATCTCCAACAAAAGTATAAAAAAAATACTGTGGTACCATTATATCCAACTTTTCAATGTTGCTTTAATTATTGCAGCTATCTTACTCTGCACTGCTGCATGCAATAATTCTGTTTAATTAAAAATATTCCCTTTCAGGTCATTCCTGTTCAGTCCCACAGGCTATTTTACAGAAATCAGTAGCTTCACCTTTTAAAAGCATTCTCTGTGCATTTGCAAAGTGCAACAGAATTTATGTGCTGAGAATAGGTTCATTCTTCAGTTAGGCCTTAAGTTTGACCCTATAAAAACTTTTACTCAGGAAAGGACCAGAATTTCTCCCTTTAAATACTTCAGGAAAAACATAACTGTTTTGTTAAATAAACTTGGCCATTTGATAGCGTAAATTAGGGTGGTGATAAAATGTGGAAATTGTTCGAAGGCATCTTGTATAAATTATCGCCTTGGCTACACTCCTCCAGGAGGTGGCTTTTATCTCCGCTTTAACTAGAAATGAAAATTCACCATTGCTGCGGAAAATGAAGGCTATCCTTTTAGTCCAGGTTCAGCTAATAAATATTTTATAACTGTTTCCTGAAATACATTTGGAAATGCAATGGGGAAGAAGCAGTATCAGAAGAACCATGTTGGTAGCTTCAAATTGGGCTATTTGCATAATTCGAGTTTACAGGGTGCTGCTGCTCAAAGGCGAGCACTTGTATTTGGTGTGTGCCTGATGCTGACACTTAACAGGCCTTTGGGGCCCAGCAGCCAAAAATAACAGCAAAATGATACCTCTGAGGTGCATTATTCATAGATTCTGTCAGAAAACATAGGAGCCTTTACCTTCAGGAAATAGAGATTCTTCTAAATAGTCTGCCACGATTGTCTACCCAGTTATTTCTGTTTTGTCATGACACCGTTGAAAGAGAGTGATTGCCTTTAGAAAACAAAAATCTTCATTTTGCTGAGCACGTAATAACTAAGACACAACACCGCTTTATACATTTTAGTAGCCAAAGAGCTGTACACCCAGGGCTTGCTCATGTTGTAAGCGTGATTTTCCAACTCGTTGGTAATGACTGGGAATCCTGTTTCAATAGAAGATGTCAGTGGATCACCTTTGTTCTAGGCAGAAATAGGAGATCATACCTCTGGCAGTTAGAGCATTACTTTTAAGGAAATGTCATACTAGGAAAACATTTAACGTCATTTTAGCCAAGTTGTCCCCCTCCTGCCCCCGCAAAAAAAAAAAGCCCAAAAAGCCAAAACTGACATCGAGAGCCAGACTGTGGAAATGGGAAACTCTTTGCATGCTGTCAGCCCAGTGACTACACATCACAGCGATCTCATGGAAATGAAACTCAAAATAATTCTAAAATGTTACTAATTTTTATATGTTTCTGAGGTAAACTATGCAGAGAAATGTGACAAAATACAGCTTGCTTTCATGACACCGTGATGTTTTTGTTCTAAATAGAATGGGGCTGGAAGCTTTGGTAGAGTCTTATGCCTTCTGGAGACCTTCGCTGAGGACACTTACATTTGAAGATATACCTGGGATACCCAAACAAGGTAATGGTCTCCTTTGTGTTCTTTCAAAACAAAAATGCATGAAGATAAAGCTTCGTCCAGCATTCTTTACAAAAATCTAGATGAGTGTGTCACTTGCAGAGAAAAAGCAAACCAACCCACCCCAGTGCAGGCTATCACCTCTCATCAGAGCTATTCTAAGTTAGAAAACTAACTCTAACTTAACCACTGTGGCAGTAAAAATGTTAGGTCATAAAGATAAATTAGATCACATGTGGAAGATGACAGTTATTTAAGGATGGAATAACCTCTTCCTTGGTGTAATGCTCTGGCTACATACACAAGGCAGAGTTCATTTGTAGATGACTTCCGTTGTACACATCCAGAGTCCAATATAGGAATTACTTGTGTGTTTAAGAGAAAAAAAAAGGAACGGGAGAAGAAATGTCCTTTAAGGAATGAAGCAATAGCGGCAAGCTTAATTGGGTTTCCTCCTTGATTCTTAAAGACCTAACAGTTGTTCAGTAAACGTCCCAACAAACTTTATCTGCGTCCTAGAGCTTGAAAAAATGGACTTCGTCTCCATTTTGTTTTTTCCTGCTCCCCAGTCTATAACCTCTTGGCTCCCACTTTCTCTGTCGTAGAGTTAGTGCTGTGGGGGAGGGAGGCGTATTTAAATGGCCTGTTTGGACAGAGAATGGAGTCTCTGTACTCTTTTCTGAGTTCCTTTATATCCAAAGTACCCCAATACATACAGAAAACCTCTCAGGTGTTTCCAAACTAAATATTGATTCTTTGCATTTCCTGCTACCAAATTTACAAACATTCTTCCTGCCTTCTTGACAATGTATTCCAAAGCCATTAAGTGTCTTCAGAGCAAAACCCCAGAGAATATAGAAATACACAGGAATCACTTTTGTCAACTTCTCCTTGGCTCACTCCTTTGAGAAATTTTGAGCATCCATGCCTGATGTGTGCAATTAAAAAGGAGTTTTTGTGCCAAGCCAGGGTTGAAAGAGTTTTGCGTGGAAGATGGGGGTGGAGGGACCATCCTTGTAAAAAAGGCCTGTATTGAGAAGCCAGCATCAGACCTGAAATACCTTGTCAGACTGTGTAAGACTGAAAGGCAACTCACTATGAAGTTAAAGTGTCTAGGAGACAGGCCAGCTGTATTGCCCTGTTTGTATATGGCAGCACTGTTTGAGAGCAGGGGAACTGCTGCCATGAACTTCCCGCTTCCTTTTCTGCTGTTGCAGGTTAAGGAGCTTGTTGAAGTTACTGTTGATGTTCACAGAATGGGAGCTGGGATCCTTGGAAAATCTTTAGTCAACTGTACTGTGGCCAGTAGAGTGGTTTAGAGACTTGCTGAAAGACCCCATTAGAAATTTGTCCTGGTTGTTAATGGTGGAAGTGCCCACCTTTGGACAGTGGAGGCGTTGACATCGATTGGAAGAAAAATAAGTATGCCATAATCCTATGCGTAGGATTTCTTGAACGTGGCAGTGTCTTATGGTGCTTTGTGCCTGTTGTGGCCTGTAAACAGAGCAAGAAGAAGCAGGCAGAGTTCACTGATAATGTGTTTTTCTTTTTACTAGCTCACCTCTCATGAAAACCTGTTAACTTACTGACAGCATGTATCTCTGCAGCATCAAGCTGTTTGATAGTATGATTCACAAACAGGAGAGTCTTCCGTGTTAAGTGCCTTCCGCCTAGGAGACTGTGAAAGGCCCAAATCAATTTTTCTATGCTCGTTTTTCAGGGAGATACAATCTCTAAGAAAAGGAAGTGTTTCTTACAGCTGGGAAACTTTCAGTCCTGAGAAAATGCTTCATCTGTACCAAGCAGTGCGTTTTCAGGAGCATTCAGCACTGGTATTTGTCACGTAAAAAGTTCTCATACCAGTAAATGAACAGTTTGTGAACAGTTTGCTGCAAACCTAAGCCTCCACCTACCAGTTCAAGAAATGAAGCAGCTGTGCACAGTACTCAGCCTACACTTTCCTGAAGTTGTTCTGAAGTTTTGTTCTCAGGTTCCTGAAGCTGTTGAACTGTGGGAGCCTCTATCATTTGAGCTAAGGAGCCGGTTCCTTAGCTGGTGCTCTGACAGTGAGTGCTTGAAACGCACTCTGGGGTGTAGCAACAGCATAGACAATACAAAATTCGTAACTTTGAAGAAGGCTTCCTGTGATGTCGTACTCGCCTGGCTACATCTTAGCTGCCGTGCAGCTTGCTTCCTGTGTCAAATAAAGAGTAATTAACCTTTCGGGCAGGAGCTCTAAGTATTGAGTGGTTGTTGCAAAAGATTAACCTACCTTCTCTTTCTTGGACGGGTTGTTTTTTTAAAAATACGCATGTGCCACACGTGGACGCACCCCCCCGCACATGTATGTACATGTCATTTTTTGAATGAACTTGCGTCGTGTTTCATGTCAAGGGTTATTATAAAAGACAAAGGTCTTGATCTGTCACCGAGGAAGTGAACCTTTTCCAACACGCTTCTTACACTGTAATATTCTCTTGCAGGAAATGCAGGTTCCTCTACTTTACTCCAGGGATCTGGCAGTGGAGTGCCATCTACTCACCCTCACCTTTTACCGGGTTCCCCTTGCTCATCTCCAGCCTTCCACCTCAGTCCCAACACTAGCCAGCTCTGTAGCCTTGCTCCAGCTGACTACACAGCTTGTGCCCGCTCAGGCTTGACCCTGAACAGATACAGCACTTCTTTGGCCGAAACCTACAACAGGCTCACAAACCAAACCAGTGAGACGTTTGCACCCCCGAGGACTCCCTCCTATGTCGGTGTGTCGAGTAGCACAACTGTGAATATGTCTATGAGTGGCAATGATGGGGATGCGTTCAGCTGCCCGCAGACTGGCTTATCTATGCAGATTTCAGGGATGTCTCCACAGCTCCAGTACATCATGCCATCCCCATCCAGCAATGCCTTTACCACTAATCAAACCCACCAAGGCTCCTACAACACGTTTAGACTGCACAGTCCCTGTGCGCTCTATGGATATAACTTTTCCACATCCCCTAAACTGGCTGCCAGTCCTGAGAAAATCGTTTCTTCCCAAGGAAGTTTCTTGGGGTCCTCGCCAAGTGGAACCATGACGGATCGGCAGATGTTGCCCCCCGTGGAAGGAGTGCACTTACTTAGCAGTGGGGGGCAGCAGAATTTCTTTGACTCTAGGACCCTAGGAAGCTTAACACTCTCGTCTTCTCAAGTGTCTGCACATATGGTTTGATGAAGCCTTTAAGTAAAAGTACAGTATGTTTGGTGTCTACAATGTATTTCTTTTGGAATATGAAAGGACACTTGGTGTAGCTTGTAAAGTGTGTGTATATATAATATGAGAGGAAGTTTCACTGAATTTTTGACTTGCTTGTGGCCAGATTATTCTCCAATTTTGAGTTACACAGAGTTTGTTGCGGCGCAGACTGCTTTAGTTTTCTGGTATAATACACTTAGTTGTATAACACGTTGGGACATATGCAACAAATTAAGTAAGACTTCCTCCCCTTTCCCCCTCCTCTGTTCTAACCCCTTTAAAGAATGAAATGACACTTGGAGTATTAAACAACACAAACAAGCCCACTTATATTTCCTATAGTACTAGTGAGTTTCTTTAAAACATTCGTACAATGATAAGCTGATGCACCAAAGGCATTTTGCGAGTTTCTTTTCTGTTATAAGGGATATGAAGGGTATTTGGACTTTTAAGTGTTAAGCATCAAGCATCCAGCCTGAAATAGAAGTTTAGCTAATGGATTATTTACAAAGTAAACGGAAAGATTAGTTTGCCTTCTCATGATATGCTGTTTTTAGCTTATCAACGGCACAGCATTCTTACTAGGATTTATTTTTTTCAGCATTAGTCTAGATTTATGTTTAGGTATTTGAAGACAAATAATGCATATTCAAATTGTGGTGACAGGAGTAATTTAAACCAACAGCAGAAGAAGTAGCATTCCTTGGTACAGAATGAACTTTGGGATGCTTCATTTTTGTCAAAGGAAGGGCTTGATGCATTTTTTTCCTCCATAAATATTGCCTATAAGACATTTACTGGACAGTAGGATATTCTAATGTATCTTTGTTTTTGTATTTTTACTTTTTTAAAGGAAAATGCAGGTTTGATTTAGGGAAAAAAAAAAGTGAGCAGGATGAGAAATTCCATTATTGGTTTTACCCTTTTGCGTGTGTGTTGTGTTTTGGGTTTGGGTTTGGTTTTTTTTTTTTTAATAAGGGCAAAAAGTTCTCCATCCTCAGTATCTCATAAATACATTGCCTGTAGCAATTAGGCAGATGACCCAGTTTGCCCACAAGCGTTGCTGGAAGCAGAACTTTGTCATAGCTGCCTGCTTGTAACACAGCCAAACTGGGACCAGGATTACAATAGGCAAAATTCCTTTAATAGTTTACTTTGAATGCTCCAACATGACACCTACAGCTTGTGTCCCTCCCTCCAGGGAGCCATCTGTCTTCATCTTACTCCTTTCTGTCATGAGGTTACTGCTGCTCTGTTTCTCAGTCAGTTTTTGCCCTGGAATTGGAGAGGTTCCCTTCCTTCCCAGCTCTGGTTTTTTTTAACTGGTGCTTGTAAGAACGCAGAACACAACCTGCTCCTGACCAGGCTTCTCCAGAGTGACAAGGACACGGGGAGACACTTGTCGTGGCAAAAATTCTGCCCTCATCTGCACCTGCACAGCCCCGGTGCGCATCAGTCCTGCTGCGAAAGCTGCCTCTCAGCTGCCCGCCTGTCAGAGCTGAACCATGGAGGTTGTAGAACAGATTTTAATGCTTGAGAGAATGGGTTGTCTTCAGCAGTACACTAAGCCTCCTTTATATTGTGCAGGTGATGTAAAGGCATTATAAAGTGAGTACAAATGTAATGGAAAATGCTTCCCTGGTCAGCATTGAAGGAAAATAAGGGCTTTCCAATTTTACGTTTTTCTCTGTTAGATTTTTCGGTGAAGGTGGATTGTTGTGTTTCTCAAAAGTTCCTACATCTTTTCTGGCAAACAGTGGGCTTAACTGCTCCCACTTCAAGAAAGACTCATTGCAGCTAGTATTTCTTCAGTGGGTTGGAGATAATGCCTGCAGAAACAGCCCTCTTCTATTCCCAAATGATAAGGAGAGATAGTGAGAGGGCTGTCTTTAAGCCCGTGCCTGGAGAAGGCTTTACTTCTATTAGTTACACATTTGTTTATGTTAACACACGTAGAAAGTTCTCATTCAAAGCTGGAAAGACAAGAGGATGAGCCTGCAGTTGAGGAGATGTGGGTTTGCTTCTTTGCTGTCACAAACTTCCCAAGTGACCTTGGGCAATTCACTTAGCCTTTCTACATCTAATTTTTTTTCTTCTGTAAAATGTGATAATAGCACTTCTCTGCCTCACAGTAAAAGGTGACGGTACATTAAAGATGAAGATCATCTTTGCATCTACTGTACTGTGGACAGTACATTACAGATGAATGGCTAGGAAGTGTTCATATATGAGGATAACAGAGCATTTGTGTACTTCAGGTCTGTCGCTAGTTTTGGCGTTGCAGTGTCCTTTGAGGCAGACCTCCTAGCAAAGACCTGCAATGCTAAAAACACTGTTCAAAAACCGCACACTAAGAATTTGTGAAATGGTTTTAAGATGTGTAGAAGATGGCCAAATTTTCAGTTGTGTAAATTGTCATAGCTCTATTGGTTTAAATTAACAAGAAACTTGTGTATAGTAATTCCTGCTCTAGCCAAAACTTTGAAATGTTGCGGTTGGACAAATCTTTAAATGGGAAGAATGATACAATTAATCTGTACTTGAAAAAGGTTAAAGATAATTATTCATGTCATCGTGAGGGCTGTGACTAGGTAGAAATGTGGAACAGCTAAATCATGCATGTTCCTACAAGGGAAAAAAAAAAAGGTTGTGCGCATGGATGTTCATGGAGGTGCTCCTGGCAAGAGTATGTACTTTATCGTCTGGGAATTTTTTAGAACTGGTCTCTTATTTTTCCTCAAATTATTCTTATCATATAACCACACAATATTGTTTGAAACATTTGTTCCTTAAAATTTGAATCATATTGTACATACTTACTGGTGTGTCATTGTGAAAAGACTAGCTTTTTATCAATATAGTAAATGCTATATATGCATTATATCTATAATTATATATCTGTATTTTACAAAAATGCCACAGAAAATATATTAAAGTGTGTATTCAAACACTTTTTACTACATTTGGAAAATTGAGGGGTTTGGGCCTTTTTCTTTTTCTCTACAACTTCAGCGAGACCAAAGGAAGTGGCTCTAAGGTAAGCTCTGAAATTCAAAGACTTAATAGAACAAGCTGCAACGATAACAACTAGTCCACAATTCTTACAAGGTTCAGTTTAACCATCTGCTGTTGAACCTCTCTGTTATTTGTATGCGAAGGTCACGACAGATGTTGGGTACAAGGAGATGCTGAGGCTGATAGCAGAGCTGTGAGGTTTTTATGTGGAAAGAAGGGACTGAGCAGCTTGCTGGGCTCATTAGGCAGTGATGGAGCCTTGCTGGTTCCTCATAGCCCAGCTCATCCCAGCTGCCAAGACCAGTTCAGCTGCCCCATGTCAGCCAGATCTGGGAAGTTAGCACTTCCATGTGACCAGGTGCTTGAGCAGGAGCTTGGTGCCCTGCATATTTTCTCTCTGTGCTCTTACTTTGGTCATTCTCTCTCTGTTCTGCTTATTCTAAATGCAAAAATCCATTCCTAAGGCACAATTTACAACCTATAATCAGCTGGGTATACTATTACTCAGCAATGAGCAACATTTCTCCTCCCAGAAATACTGTTATGTGTAGTGGCCTTATTTCCTATTGTACTGCAATAAATGATTCCATGTGATGTAGGGCACAGGGCCTGAAAATCTGATTACTTTAGGGTTTCATAGTCACTTAACACCAGCATTGTTGCAAATGACCAGGATTAGGGCAAGAGAAGTAGGCATGAAATGCTTGATCATAAATATCAGGCCTCGAGAGAGAATGAAAGCTTCTGTTTTTAATAAGAGCCTTTTTTGGAATAGCACAATCAGACTCTGAGAGGGCTCATTTCTGCTTCAACAGAGGACAACAGGAGAAACTTTAAAATCGCAGACAATGTCAGCATTAATGCTAGCAAGTCTATACCGTGAGCAGTTCAACAGAAGGAACATAAGTCATCATCAGAAGTAGCTCACAGGTTCTGTGGGTATATTTTTCCTGTAAAGATAATCCATCTGATTAGTACTGTGTAAAAGTGTGTTTCGGAAGTCTGAAGAGTAGCTACTTTCAGAGGTTTATTTACCAACTTCATGTATGAAATTACTATTTTGTTGCATTCTTCCGAATGCGCTGTCGAACTCCCATGACATTAATGTTTAAGTTTACTCTGAAGTTCAAGTTTTAATATCAATAACTGCAATTCATCGTAATGAGGTAATGGTTAGTCTTTGTGGGCTGCCTTTTCACTTCCACTGACAAAATACATTTTCCTTTGTGGCCTTTCTAAACATTTGAGGTAACGCCCACGTTTCAAGGCAAGCGCTTGGGCTCCAATTCTGCGGCAGGGAATGGCAGGAGAAGTGGAGGTAGCACAAATGGACCCTGCAATCCCACCATCCACTTTTGAAATGTCACAGGTACGGTGACGGCACCCACAATGTATAGTTCTATCCAAATATATCTCAGTGCACCTCTCACAGGAGTCTGTAGCCTAAAACGAGAACTGACATCACGGGCTAGTCAAGAAGGATAAAGCATGATGTGAAAATAGTTGTGCTACCTGAAAGCTGGGCTATTGCACTGAACGTTAAGTGTAGCCCCAGCACAGACTTAACCTGTGTCAGCACTGCAGCCACTTGGACTATGCTGTGCCCTTATGTTCATTTGCACACCACTGGGTTTTATTTGGATGCTATAATATAGAGCCAAGAGTAAATTTAGAGCATATTGGAGGAAAGCTGGACTCCTCTGTGGCCATTGGTAACGTTGCCATTGACTTGAGCTTTATGGATACCACATTTTCAGACCCTAAGCCATCCCTCTTTCTGTCGCTGAGTGCTTTACCCACGCAGCAGCTGTAGTTACTCTGTTTTCAGGGACGTTCTTCTGGCCCTTTGTGGTGTTTTTCAGGTGGATAACAGGCTTTTTGCATTTCACATGCTCATATTTTTGTTTTTAAATTTTTGCTTCTGCAGTTTTTGAGCCACAGTCTGTCTCACACTGAAAGATAAGACAAGGCTGGAACTCGGTGCTGTCTCCCCCAGAAGCCTTGCCGATGGATGATGTATTCCCTCCCACTGCAGATAATTGACTATGTATTTCCCACAATGTTTTTATTGTATTTTACAGAGAAAAGTAATAAAAATAGAGGCTGTATGACAATCAAAGCAGTGTTTCCATTCCTCAGGCAATATTTTTCACTAACCCAAAGGAAAACACCTCCCCACCCTTTCCTGGTTACTATGCTTGGTATATGGTTCTCAGTAAGAAGAAAACCAGATGCCATATTTAAATGTAAGATGGCAGAAACCAGAAAACCAGAAAAATGGGTCCCAATTCAGGGAAATGTTCCTGGATAGTCTTTGTATTCTTTGAAGTGCAATGCGGACACTAATGTTTCCAGAGACATCCTCAAAGACCCTTTGTTATATCACCAAGTAGATAACTGTTTGTGTATGATAAATGCCTTGTTGACACAGTGTGCACTACAGATTACCTGCCCCGCACTCAGGCAGGGCGTTGTCAGTGCCACACAAAGATGTGCGAGCACATGCCATTTATGCGGTTCTAGTAATCCTGCACAGAAGTGTAGCTGCACAAGTGTTAAACAGATCCCAAAGCTGTGTTAAGAGACCAGTTCTCAGGGAGAACTAGTTATGTGCCAAGCCCGTGCAATCCAGTCATCCTCGTGGTGGTAATTAAACAGCATCTTACAATGAATATAAAAGCAGTTAATCTAAGCAGGCATTTATTTCACTTTGCTATAACTGAAAAGGATATATTAATTTCCTCAACGTTTTGGGAGGGGAAGGGAACTGAATGCCTGGCGGCTGTAATAGTGAATGTTTCAGCCCCACAGGAATTTTTTTTTGTGGAAAGAGGGGAGCTTTGGAAAACAAAATTTAAACCAAGAGAAGACAAATGAAGGCTGGTCTATGAGCAAGCAACCTTTAGACATCAAAATATCCCATCACAAATGTCTAAAAATGGTCTGTCTGTTGTCATGTCCTTGCATTCAGCAGAGGACGGAACTGTTACATTAAGGAGTGATCTGTGATACCTTTAACTTTGAAGTGTTGGGTAGAATGAAGGCCTTTGTTTGGTAAGTTGAAGGCTGAATTACTTAAAATAATCTAAGGTTGAATGTCTGCCATTTTAAGTCTTTAACATTCTGTTCTTTTTTTTTCTTTTTTTTTTTTTTTAAAGATACTATTAGCAAAGATGAGATGATGCTTAAAAATTTCCAGCCAGATGTGTCTCCAAACTTTCCCAGAGATGAAGGATATTCAAATGTAGTTTGGATTCAACCCATTGTATAGATAAGTTTGTTTTATAGCTGGCCGCAGCTGTGAAGTTTGGATTCAGATCTGTAACTCCCCTAAACTTTGAAGACTGTAGTCAAATCTGTGGTTTTGGATTTGAATCTCCAGTTGCTTGTTGCATCAGACTTGTCATTCACATCTGTTACACCAACAGCTCAGTGCAAAACTCTGATACCAGTTACAGACTCTGCAAAGCTGCACCTCAGAAAGGCCACTTCTCAAGCACACTGTTACATATGAGCAGCGACAGCAGCATATTGCAGGTCTGCAGGTTAACAACTCTCTACATGCCATCTAATGGCCATCGGTGACCCACCACAGAGCACTGGCTGGTGGGTCACAGGTTGTTGGCTCCCGCCCTGCAAAGTATGCTTTACATACTTCCTTCATATTATGTTTCTGTGTAAGCGAATGCTGTAGCTTCCCACAGGGATATTACGTGATCCTGTGTGGAAGGAGAGAGCGTTGGCGTAATTGCAAATGGGATGAAAGCTGGTCCTTGAGGCACTCTCTGAAGGCTTATCTATACAGAGTGGTTGCTGAGAAATAAAGTAGGAGGTGAATTTACAACACCTCAGCTCCACAGGTGGGCACTCTTAACATGCAGTAAGCGAGAGGGAAGGTACTCCACGTGGAAAATAAGAGGGAAAATACTCCACACAAGTGATGTTCCCATGAGGGTACAGGGCTGTGAGGCTAAGGTCCTGCAATTTTCCTCTCTTGTTTGCTCTACAGGCAGACCTTAAGACTTCAGCCACACTGTAAAAAATAACAACCACAAATGCCTATCTGGGAGGGTGTCACTGGTTGTCACCATGGTATAGATGGCCACACCAACTGCAGTGACGGAGCCACACGTGGTAAATGCTGGACAACTCTTCTGACCTGTTAATAGTTGGCAGAGTATTTGATGACAGTTGCAAGAATCTGATGCACAGCAGTATCCTTTACAGCAGTTTAATCTTTGTCATCAAATCCCCCAGCAGCCATGATTAATAGCAGCACTTGAGCTTGTTTTGAAAGTTGTATATTTGGCAGCTATGAACTTTGATCTATGGTTTCGCTTTTAAGAATCATTATGACACAAACTTTTCCTGTAATCCTTCCATCTAATTAAACCACACACAAATACTATGTGGGGAAATATGATGCTATTGATATAAGCTGTGTGTTTATTACAATATTTTAGGCACTTTATTAAAGTGGATAGTTGTTCCCAGCAAGATAGTAGATAAGCTCCCCAAAACCAATAATATCACCCAGAAAGAATATATAAGAGAATTTCCCAAGGCCAAATTCTATTACAAACCTTCTTTGTTGATTAATACTGTGCCCTTGAACCCGTTAAGGGCTCAGATGTTTTAACCTGAGCTAAAATTACTAGCATTTAATTAATCCAGCCTACTAATGTGTACTTTTCCACAAAAAGTTTGCCTTTGTTCCAGATAGTCAGACTTAAATGTCTAACATGACAGTATCTCTCTTTCCATAGTAGGTTGTTCAGTATTTGGGTACAATTTAATGGGGAAGTTTTCAAAGATCCAAGAAAATTTATTCTCATATAAATATTTTAAACCATGAAACATCTATCTTTTTGTAGCTGAATCAACCATAAACCAGACATTTCTTGCTGGTATCTATCCTGCTGTACACTGTGTAGTGAAACTCCCATCATGTAGATAAAGCTCATGTTTTCAAGCCTAAAATATGAACTGTGGATCAGAGTCTGAGCAGTGTTTTTTCTAGGGCTGAGGTGCAGGGCTGCATAGTCTCGACTGAGTTGACTTGCTTGTGTATTGCATCTTCATGACCCCAGCATTTGTGTGGAAAAGGGTTCCTTCCTCTA